GTATGCATAGGTACCTTACCTATTGTTAAGGTATGAAGTTTTTATGAACTCTTATTACAAATTTTGATGTCGGTATACCTTGGGAAAATTTCAGAATTCAATAAATAGATTTGCAATTAAATTCAAATCAAATATGATAATTAATATCCTACAAATCAATAACTTACCAGTTTTAGGAATTCATAATTTACCTTATTTATGTTTTAGGTGCATAAGTGGAACAAAAAAAGAAAAAAAGGATGAAGTAAATATCAATAAATTGAAATAGGCATGTAATCTTATGTGGCGCAAAAGTTAAAGGACTTGGATTAACAACAATTTATGCGTGGATTGCACCCAAAATCTCTCCTCATAATTGGACTTATGCCAAATTTTCTATATTAAAAAAGAAAAACCCTATGTTATAAAAGAAGAATAGAGATCTCACAAAGTTCACTCATTCTGTAATTTTGTGGAGAACTCAGCTACTAAGTTCACTTTAAACAAAAATATTTTTTGTTTGGCTATATATTGATTGGATTCTTTTTTAAGGCCCTGGATAAACGAAAGTCTGAGTCCGCCACTGATCCCCAACCTTTACCATCCCTCTCCCTTACTCTTCGTGATATGGTATATCTGTACTATTCTATAATTTGTCGTGAAATGAAAGTCAAAGTAGAGCATGAAGATTGTAAGCCAACAAAAATAACACGAAGATAATGTACGAATTAACCTAAAATGAAGATAATGAAGGACAAGAAAATTAATAGACAGCGGCATGGAAGAAGTTAAAACTTAAGAAATTAAAGCACGTGAACTGGTTCCCACTTTGACGACTTGCTGATTCTTAGTGGAGGCTGCAAGGAAGCTAGAGAGAGGATCGACACATGGGCTGAATTAAATTTTGGTTGTTTACCTTTTGATCATCTTGAGGCCTATATGCACATGGAACCTCCATCACACAAGTTGGATCTCTTTTTTTTTTTTTTTTCCATATATTTCTCTTTCAGTCCATTAATTTGCTTTATATCTCTTTCACTCTCCTATATTTTTATTCTATATATTGCTAATTAAATAATTAAAGGGTCTATTCTACAAGAGGATTTTCTATTACATAGTATTATATAAATTAATCTCTCGCTATCTCTACTCTTGTGGCTTTTTTAGTGTTCGTCAGTCTACTTCCTAACTTT